TAATGTTCATGATCAGAACGTTGGTTTAATAAATTTAAAAAAATTAAATAATAAAGGACTTAACGTTTGTCTTCCTACGAGGCATATCCACAAGGTAAGAGTATTGAGACTCTATGCTCTATGGCTTTTGTTTTCGACAAAGTTGGCAACAGTGCATTCAAGGCCAAGGCGTTGGGAGCAGAATGTGAGCTCATTGGTCTCAGTATGTTGAAAACTGTAGTTGTAGTGGGGTGTTGAAATGTGTGCCGTTATTCCGAATTCCATCAGCTGCGAAGTGAGGAGCATAATCCGTTTTTTTCTTGCAAAGGGAAAGGTGCCGTTCCAGATTTTTAACAAAATCAAAACTGTTTATGGGGATGGTGTGACGAATCGTACTAATGTGTACAAGTGATGCAGTGAGTACAAATATGGCAGAACGAATGTTCATAATGAATAAAAGAGTGGGCCTCCCTCAATCGGTACTGATGAGGTGGTGAACAAGGTTGAAATGATTCGTAGCAACCGTTAATTGACTTTGGACGAGATGAATGCAGTGTTTCCACAAATCTCCAGATCTCTTCTGCATTAAACCGTTACCGAAACACTTGGTTATCGAAAATTGTGTGCGAGGTGGGTACCAAAACAGTTCACAGATCAACACAATTCACGGAAATTTTTCGAGCGCTTCAAACTGGAAAGTGAACAATGCCTTGATTGTATTGTGATTGACGACGAAACGTGGGTGGTCCACTACACTCCTGAGACGAAAATACAATCAATGTAGTGGCGACATCCGCCTTCACCATCAGCGAAAAAATTCAAAACTACTGTTTTGGCCCGAAAAATCATGGCTACTGCATTTTGGGATTGTAAAGGGATTCTTCTCATTGACTTTTTGCCCCAGAAAGAAACAATCAATGACGCATGGTACGGTGAAACCTTGGAAACACTACAGAGGGCGATTGAGAAAAAAGAAGAGGAATGTTACTGAAGGGAGTGTGCTTGTTGCACGTCCCCACACAGCCAATGCCAGTCCCCACACAGCCAATGCCACAGAGTAAGTCTTGGATTCATTCGGCTGGAACGTCATCAGCCACCCCGCTCACAGCCCTGACATGGCACCTTCTGATTTTCAAGTTTTCTCTTCTCTGAAGATGTTTATGGGTGGAAAAAGGTTTCCTCCTGATGATGAGATACACAGTGATCTGAAAGGCAGTGGGATATTTTTTTGATGAAGGTATCAGAAAGCTCATCCCTCGGCTCATAAAGTGCATTGAGGTTGAAGAGATTTACGTGGAAAAATACTGTTCGATTTACCTTTCTGAATATGTAAATTTTTCATAAATATACTGCCTTTCAATTGTTTAAAAATTGAGTACTCTTACTTTGTGGATATGCCTCTGTATATATTGGTGGTCAATGTTATCATTAATATTCTATCTACTACTGGTTAATTATTAACTGGTAAATTTGTATAGCTGATATTGATTATGTGTGGCAGTTATGTAATGACTAAACTGACAGCTTTACAACATATGATTAAAACGAAAAAAATATCTAAAAATGTACATAGCTGCAGCTGCAGTGCAAGCGATTTTTTTTTACTAAATGTTAGTCCATGGGTATGAATGTTTCAGTGACTTTTGGTAGACTTCATTTAATAATTACTAAAAAATGTAAGTCATTTTAATGTACAAATGGTTTTATGACAAATTCACTTCAACAAAAATCACCTACATTTTAACTATTTGGTTATTTAGCTTGCCTCTGTAACCGCAACGTAATATATACTTGAAAACGAAAATATTATAGCTTTGTTCCAAAACAGTTTCCAACAGCATTCCGATGCTTACACAAGGTTCAAAATTAATTGTTTTCAATCAAATGCTTTTGCGTCTAACTGTTGGAAACTGTTTCCAAAGAATTAGAAACAAAGCTCATAAGATTCTTGATTTAACAAATTTCTGATAGAGAAGAATTTTTGTTATTAATAAATGTAGCTCATTTGGCAAGAAATTCCTGATTTTGAGAACATGAAGCCAAATTTGACAGTCATTTAATTGTAAGTAAAAGTTAAAGTTATCAATAAATAACCAGTAAAAAAATAACAAGCTACAAAATATTATTTATAAAATTAAAGCATTTGTTGTTGCACGTCAAATAACTAGATAAACACAGGCTTTGTTTAGCTGTTGCAATATTCCGCTGACAAAATTGTACAGCTCTTTGAGTTATGGCAGAGTGATAAATTCTAATTTTTATAAATTGTATCTAATTAGGATAAGATAGTGATAAGTTTAGTACGCAGAAATGGGAAGTGAGGTAGGAATGCTATAGCAGGAGAATTGCGGGAAACTCACACAGATAGTACACTAAAACTAATTGCACTCGCAGAACTGTGATGAATGGAATAACAACTGCCGGGCTTAGCCAACCAACATTTCACGGTTGGTACTGTGAACTAAAAATCCTTAATTGCCAATGTGAAGGAAATAAAGTTACTGTTCCAAACAGAATTACTGGTCACGTGTGTTGCAATATAGCAGAAATGAATAAGGTTTGCTATTAGCCTTCATTGACATTATGAAAGTTTTTGACACTTTAAAACAAAAAATTTGGAAAATTCAAAGAGTTTGGATTCCCCCTGAAATTAATAAGATTAATTAAACTCTGATGAATGAAAAAGCAACATGCCAAGTATATAAAGATCACCTGAGTGGAAAAATTGAAATTCAAAAAGAAGTAAAACAAGGACCAATACTATACTCTCTACTTTTCAATATCTATCTCGTTTGTTTATTAGAACAATATAAGAAATTAAATAACGTAATAAAATGGAACCTCCTACAAAACAAAAAAACTTAGGTTTGGAATATGTAGACGACATTTGTCCAACATCAGAAAATGTAAGCGATATGATGGATATATTAAATAATCTCATACAAGAGGTACAAAAAATTGATCTTAAAGTAAACAAGAATGAAACTAGGGAAATGAGAACAGGGATTTAGATGGAAATCCAAAGTGTAGAAAAAATGTTGCCATCTGGAAAGTGTAACAAACATGAGAGGAACAGAAGAGGATATTTAATATACAAGGGTGTATGAAATATAAACGGGACTGATTTTTTCTTAAAATTACGGAGAGGTCCTTGACCTTGAAGGAGTTGATGCACAGACAGCCTGTACTGTTAGGGAGTGGGGAGAACTGACTGCACTTCGTTCGAGTCCCTTTAGGTATGCAAAGAAACGATGAGCGAGACAGAAGTGCATGTCTCCATGGAGCAACGGATTATAATTAAGTTTTTGGCTAAGGAGGGGGCGAATCTAACCAAAATTTTACGGCAATTGCAGGCACAGTTCGGGGTCAAGGACCCGTGTATTTGCATGGCACAAAGAATTTTCGCTCGCTCGCCGCCCAAGGACAAGTATGACCAAAGTCAACATTGAGGCGGTCCAAAATCTCATGGAGGGAAATCGCCGCATAACTCTCTGGGAAATCATTGAGGAACTGAACACCGGATCGTGACTGATGACTTGAAAATGTGTAAAGTGTCTGCTAGATGGGTTCCCCGTCTGTTATCGGAGGAACACCAGCAACATCGATTAGAGACTTCGCAGCGACACTTTAATCAATTCCAGAAAGAGGGTGAAGCTTTTTTTGAATCGCATAGTCGCCTGTGACGAACCTTGGGTGCACCACTACACGCCCGAGTCGTAGCAGGGGAGTATGGAGTGGAGAAAAAGCGGCGAGAGGGGACCGGTGAAGGCAAAGACGCGCTTGTCAACCGGAAAGGTAATGGCAACAATATTTTCTGACCGGCAAGGTGCTTTTCACGTTGACTTTCTCCATGATCGACGCACCATTAATACACAATATTATTGTGAATTACTGGATTCCACCAAATTGTCATTTCGAAGGAAAAGGAAGAAGCAATCGGTAAGAAGTGTCTTTTGCATGACAATGCCAGGCTACATGCGGCCAATGCCACAAGACAAAAACTGGATGCATTAGGCTGGGAAATGCTGGAACATCCGCCAACGTCCAAAGAGTTTCTATGACGATGGAATAAAAAAGATCTCAATCCGATGGGAAAAATGTATTTCTAGGGCGGGGGACTATGTAGAAAAATAATATATGTTTTTAGGTTTAATTAAATAAAGTTAGAAATTTTTACAAAACAAATCCCGTTTATATTTGATACACCCTCGTAGATTGATGGAAAAACAAGAATAAAGACATTTGGGGAGAATTAATTGTCAAATGAAATAAGAAATGAATGGTTATGAAGAAAAAAACAACAGCAAATTGTAAATGAGATAAAAGCAGGGAAATGGAGATAAATGACATGCTTTATAGAAACGCTATAATTGTGGCTCTCGCAAGAGCAGTATTATTTGCATCATCCATTTTTTCTAATTGTATAGAAAAGTCAAGTCACTAAGCATGACCATTTCCAATAAACACTGCTCATTGTTTTTTTACGATTTACTGAGACTTGCACTGCTTCTCAAAAGAAGTCAATATTAGAAAAAAATGAAGGTAGTGATTCCAATAGGGTATCAACCTGTGTCTCCAAAATTGAATTAATGTATCAAACATGAATGGATTACTTTAAAAAACATGTAAAATAAATTAAGACATGAGAACCAAACCAAAAAATAATGAAACTTTATCACCTCCCCTGTATTTTAAAACCGAAGCACTTGCGGATCTACATTCACATGAACTTTTTTCTTATTTTTGATCTAATAACTGCGGAATTTTGTCGGTGGAATACTGCATCATCTTGATGAAAGTGCTATTTTAAAGAGCTTAAAAATTTTTTAAAGATAGACATTTTTTCTGTTAAATTTGTTGTTAAATCAGAATCTGTTATATTGTATATTAAAAGCATGGTTTGCCAAATTATTTTTTTCTACATTGCCCAAATAAGATAATAAATAATAAATGTTTAAAACATATATAAATCAATAAAAAAAAAACTTTCCAACCAAATTAAACAATTATTTTTCCTCATATATGTATAAAATACTCATTAATTAAAATAGAACAAAAAAATAAAAAACTATTTTTACTTAAAATAAAATCTCCCTATAGAGGACCTTCTGTTAATTTGAGCACTTGGATTTGCTTATGGCTGTTTACTCAATATTGATTATTAAGATGCAAAATTTGCAGTCGTTTAATTTCGGTTGGAAAAAAAAAGTGTAAAGAGGGAAAATATTTCAAAAACCAAATGCAAAACATTTAAGACTAGACTTGGTAATGCTACAGTCATTCTTGACTAGATAAAATGTGTTCTTACATTCCACTACTCAAAATAAAAAAGTTACTTATTTTATTATTTCTTAAAAAGTGGCCGAAATAATCAATCAATAAGAAGCTGTTTAAACGAAATAACAATTTCTAATATATTTTCAGAATTTCTTTATAAAGTGATTTATAGTAAAACTTTTATTTCTAGAGATGGAAAAAAGTAGCAAAGCGAAAAGCTTCTACTGTTAATATTATTCATGTTTACAAACTAAACTTGACAAAGAAAATTATCCAAATCAAGTCAAAACAAAAAGATGGATGATTTAAATATATAACTAAATATTTTCCCTCCTTTTTCAATAAAAAATAAATCATTGTTGATATGGCAAATAATTTTCTTATAACGTAAAAAAAATTAATTTAAAAATCCGTCAGGAAAAGAAAACGAACCCGTCCTACTGAGGAATCTCGGGAGCATTTCCAGTACCCCCTGCGAGCTCGAAAACTTTCAAAGCTACCTCTGCTGCTAGTTTGTCTGTTTCCTTTCTTGTACTAGCTTCAGCATAAATCCTAACAATATCCTCCGTCCCCGACGGTCTAACAAAAGCTCGACCTTTACTGTACTTGGAAACTAAAGTGTTAATTTCTTTTTGTAAACCTTCTGGAGTCACGCATATCCTTTCTGCATCCTTTGTTTTAATTACACGACGATCCTAAAGGCATATATTTGAAACAAAACTAATAAGGTGATTTCAATTTCACTACCTTGACAGTTACTTTCATAAGACGGTTTGGCAAATCTGTGTAACACGCCTCCCAATCAGTTACATTCCAACCCTTAGCGTGAAGTATAGTTTCCACTAATAACATATCGGAAATCGCATCACCGACAGTTTCATTAATCACGTCTATTAAGATTTGGAGCTTCTCGATGGCTTTTCTTTGTTCTTCTGAGTAGCTAAAGAAATGGATGGAAATACTCGGTTACTTTTAGAAATAATTTACTATAAATATATTAACACAATGTTGATAAAAATGGTGAAAACTAATTTGCAAATTTTACCTATTATTTTTCGCTGCTTCTTTCAACTTATTCTTGGTTTCTTGGCTAAAAATTACTGTTCCATGGCCATTTGCCTCAAAGTAAACTCCTATGTCGAATGTGAGAGCTTTATGATGTAAATGTTTCACTCCAGTAGGTACACAAGCAACAGGCACTTTCTAAGGCAATAACAGATCTTATTAAAATAATTATAGATCATTGTTTTAGTAGGGGTTTGAAGCCACAGAATAATATAACAGGGTGTTTTTCAAGTCAATATCATAACTTCATGAGGTTCTTTGTATCAATTTAGGCCAAAAAGCGTTACACAACAATTAACTTTTTATTTGAATAAAAACGTCTATTTATTCATTAAGAGTTTGTAAAACTATTGGCGAAATCTGGCAACATTGTACATCAGTGTGGCGTGGTGGTAAAAGTTGGGTCAACTGTCAAGTGAACTGTGGTTGGCCGCTTGGCGCATATACCGTAAACATGAATGAACATCCAAGATACAAAGGAAAAGTAATGACTGAAAAGCAATATAAAATGCGTATGAAACAGAATGTGGATCAAGAAGCTCAGTGTATGGTAGTGGGACATCGCCTTGTCAAATTGAAGATTATGAAAGGACATCTATACTGTTCATTTTGCAAAGAGATCCTTTCAATTTTTGTTTTAAATTGCTATTATACTGCATTAGATCATGAAAAATTTATTTAATATTAATTATTACTACATTATGTTTCAACTAAAATAATTTTATATTCTATTGCCATATTTCCTTTCATTGGATCAAATTTGTCAAAACTTTATCTATTCATTCCATTATCTCAATAATTACATTGTAAGTGCATATTTTTATTGTTTTAAAATGTTTAGTAATATTTAATTCTGTAACTACAATTTTATTTTCCCGATCCTAACCATTTTTAAGTGCAATATTCACGTTTGATTAAAGTTTTTTCCCAACTCGCATAAGAGTCTGTGTATAAGAGCATAATTTTTAATATCATTTTTCAAAAAAACTATATTGGCAATCGACCTGATATTTTTACACGAGGCAGTTGGCATATTTATTAACAGATTTCAATGATTTTGAAAACTTTTTTACCATTTTTTTTGGGTATCGAACCTCCTTAAATTGTGTAAACGATATTTTTAATATGGTATTTCTATAGGATTAAACTGCGACTTCCAAATTTCCTTGTTATATCTAATATATCGCATAAAGCAATGTCGTTATAATCACTTTTCACTGAATATTTATGGGAAATTGCAAAAATATATAGTCATACAATATTTTGTGATTTACTTACGAAGGAAGTATCACAGAGTTGTCTCCTCAAAAAATTTTAAGGAATTTATTTAATTTTGTTTACAATTGCTAATACACAATTTGTAATAATTTATTTTAATTTTTATTTCATAGCAGACTTTAAATACATTATAGATTAGGGCCACAAAGTTTGAATCACCACCACCAGACTCATACGACTCGTTAAGTAAACAACGGAGGCTAGCCCCCTTGCCCTTTGTACAGATCAGGATCAGAATCTGCTGAGATTTAAACTATTTAAGGTTATTGAACATTTGGTTGCGGATAAAAAATAATAAATAATGTTAATCTAAACATTTTCTCTATTTTTTTTGTAATAGTATAATGGAGTACCTTTTGATATTCAAGAAACAGAATCAGAAATATACTTTTTAATCGGATAGAAAAAAATATTTAACAATACTGTTACCTAAAATTTTAATCTATATTGGGAAAGATTTTTTAATTACTTTTTAATCTATTATTAGACACTAAAGACCCCACTAGACTAAAGCTCATTAAGGTCATGTCAGCTTTTCAAATTTTTTTCAAATATCAGAACAGGGTGAACATGCAATTGTAACATCAGGACGAATTTGATGTCATAAAATCTGACTTATTATTAGTGTATCTTTGTTTTCCAATTACATGAAATATAGGCAGAAAAAATTATTAAAAATATATAAATAAATGAATAAACTATGCATTTCATGTTTATTCTGAGAGTAACTTAAGTATTTATTTATTTTACTGACTTGACCAAATTAGTTTGATACGAAATTAAATTTTAAATTTTAACATCAAATTAATTTGATAAAAACAATTTGACAGAAACTTGATAGTTTGGCATGAGCCTAGGGCTCTTTGGCGCAAAATAACCCAAGGAACAATCTTCTGAAGTTATGCCAGTTGATAGAGAATCATTTTTTAATAAGAAAAGTTCCTATAAACGTAGGTCTTAGAACGCTTCGCTTCGTGAGATATAGGATGTTGAAAACAAACTTTTTTTAAGAATTTTTCTTAATATCTCTAAAAGACCAACATATATTGAACTGAAATTTGGTATTAATAACACATTAGTTATGGTGAATAAAACAAAGATATCTGTTATCTATTTCATACACCAGTGACGTGCCTGAAGTGGGTTATTGCCCCCTTTAAAAAAATAATTCGTACGCCTGTGGATTTTTCTTGAAAATAACATCATTTCTAAATTTTTTAATCAATTCTAAACAAAACAGCTCTCTTTCAATTTTTTATAAAATGAACGGTTTTTGGTTAAATTCATTTGGCATGAAACTGTTCCAACGATATTGGTAATACATATCTGTAATAAGAAAAATATGATGTACCCTGAAAATCAACAAAAACGATTAAATGTCATAACGTTAACATAAGAACGCAAACATTGTGTAACGTGTGTGTCAATTAGTTCTTTCTTTAAATTCTGTGTTTGTTTTTTCATGCCAAATTTCAGTTTAATATCTATTGGTCTTATATCCCTATATCTCACAAACGAAGCGTTTTAAGACCTATGTTTATAGGAACTTTTCTTATTAAAATATGATTTGCACGTAGCAGAATGGCGCTCCTTGGGAGACCCTATTTGGAACCCAAGGAACTGAGAGAAGTGTCAGCAAGGAAGCTTTTGGACTTTGTAAAAAGAACAAATCTACTTGATGAATAGGACTAGTAGTGGGACGCACAATAGGCCTAATTAGGCCGCAGTGCTATGGGACTTTTATAGGACCAACCACTAGAAGATGAAGATGAATACCAAATTTCAGTTCAATATATGTTGGTATTTTAGAGATATTAAGAAAAATTCTTAAAAAAAGTTTGTTTTTAACACCCTATATCTCACAAACGAAGCGTTCTAAGACCTACATTTATAGGAACTTTTCTTATTAAAAAATGATTCTCTATCAAATGTGAAAATCCTACTACAAAAAACTGACTCGCCCTGTATAGTACCTAACTATACAGTATGCTGAATAGCATAAAGGTACCTTACAAACAGTTTAATATTGAAAATAAAATATTTTGTTTAAGATCAGTATGCAAAAGGTATTATGTAACGTAAAAAAAACAAAACTTACTAATTTTTCAGTGATATATTCAGTAGATGCCCCATTGGCATAGGCAGTTTGTACTAATCCCATATTGAGATCAATTCCTGTTTGTTGGACAATTTCTTGGAGATATCCCGCAACTAAAGTTGCTATCCTATCTCCATCCATAAGATGAAATTTATTGTTCTCATCTAAATAATAATACACAATTCGGTCTGCATCACCATCAACTGAACAACATCTAGCGTTGGATTCAACAGGAAGGCCAGTGGGGAATTTTTGTTGCGATTTGACAAAATCAGCACCACACTGGAATAATAAAAATTTATCAAAATATTTTGAAAATTAATTAGATGGTAATAAAATAGTTACTGATTTATTTTCCAGATATGTATTATGAAATGTCATAAATTATTAATTTATTAGTGACATAATTTGTTTTTTCAATTTATGTATTTCGATTAAGTGAAAAATTTTAAAATCAATCAAAACTGTTGTCAAGTCGTAGGTAGCTTCTCTGAAACTTTTTTGTCTAAGCAAAAGTTTCACACTGAAAAAAGTGGATAAGTAAAAAATACACATCATTCAATCAATTTTCGTTCTTAAAATCATTGTTTAAATAACTGTTTTTGACTGGCAATTTCTTTTTATAAAGTTTGTTCCTTAGTTACAATGACAAATTTTTTTTTTTTTCAATTTTCCTATATACAAGGTGAAAGAGAGAATAAGTTTTTCTTCCTGAAATTTGAAATACCTGGTAGGGTGTACTTGAACTAAACTGAGCAATTTCTTTTTTGCTATGGATAGCCAGACTCAGGTGGATGCCGGGTATACTGATTTTAGCAAAGCATTCGATAAAATTAATCATAATGTACTTATATCTAAATTGTCTGAAATTGGTGTACATGGTAACCTACTAGATGGCTTACCTCTTATGTTTTCAATAGGTCGCAATTGGTAACTATTAATGGTTACAAATCTCCCCCCTACATTGCAATGTCAGATGTTCCTCAAGGATCACATTTTTGACCTTTACTATTTTTAATATATATCAACAATATACGTCATTGTTTCAAATTTTGTAAATTTTTACTCTATGCAGACGATTTGAAAATTTACTACAAATAAATAATTCCGATAATTGTATTGCCTACCAGGAAGATTTAAACTCTTTCTTTGAATACTGTAAATTGAACAAGCTTCAATTAAATTTAAGTAAATGTTTTTATATTTGTTTTACCCGTAACCAAAATATATACTCTAATAATTATAACTTTAATAAGAATATTTTAAATCAAGTTCAAGAAATAAAAGATCTTGGGGTTGTCTTTGACAGGAAAATGAGTTTTTCCTCACATATTGATTAAATAACTTTAAAAAGCAACAAAATGGTTGGTTTCATTGTCAGTTTGCAAAAATTTTAGGTCGATTTTTGCTATTAAATCTGTATATTTTGCATACGTGCACAGCATAATCAATTTTGCATCTATTGTATGGAGTCCTCAATATACCATATATAAGTCTCGACTTGAGGCCATACAAAACAGATTTATGCGATATTTACACTACAAGGAGAGTGGTGTGTATTCTTTTTATTGTAGCACGATGTTACGAAATCATTATCATATTATTTCATTGGAGAATCGAAGAATTATTGCCGAAGCAGTATTTTTGTATAAGCTTCTTAATGACTTTATCGATTCCCCAGATTTATTAGCCTTGAGCTGTTTACATGTACCACAACATGATTTTAGAGTAAATGCACTGTTTCATGAGAATTTATCGAATTAATTTGGTCAAAACTCCTATAAACAGAATATGCAGACATTTTAACTAATACCACATATTACTAACATTTACTATAGTAATATGTGCTTATACTGTAGTATTCTAGATATTTTTCATTTCTCGCTCATTAGTTTTAAAAGATTTTTAAAGGGAACTATTATTGTAAATTAACATTTTCTATTATAATAATCTTTTCTGTACTTTTATGTTCAATTAGCTTTAAGTAATTTGTGGGCATTGTTTTGGGCTATAAAGCCTGTGTTTGTCCCTTCTCCATAAATAAATAAATAAATATCATTATCTATTTATAATATGTCAATTTTACATCAATTCGTGTTTAGGTAGCATATCTATAGATGACACTATTGTTTACAACCTCTACGTCAAATAATTAAAATAAAATAAGTATTTCTAAAGTACACGATTCGATTATATACCTACTCGACAATTCCTCTGATTCCACAGAAACACATTGTCAGTCAATATCTTGCAAATATAGGTATTACATGTACAGACATATAGTACTTATGCAAAAAAACATGTTTCTTTGGAAAAAGCTTGATTATATATTTTTTTGTCAATTAAAAAGCTGTAGGTACTTATGTTTCAAAAATCTCCTGTCTAGGGCTGAAATGTATCTGAAGTATACAGAGCCTTCATAAATAATTACAAGCCATGTGACCAGTAATTTTGTTTGGAACAGTAATTTTATTTCCTTCATGTTGCAAAATAAATTTCAGTAAAATTAAAACAATAAGATCAAGATTACACTAAAACAGTACATTCTGTTTCACTGAATGGTAATTGGTGTGAGTATCTTGAGGTAGACATAACAGTTTGTCGTTGTTCATTGTAAAAGAATCATTAATATTACTGATGCTAATATTTAGGGATTTATAGTTGACAGTACAAGCTGTGAAATGTTGGTTTCCTAAGCTCGATGGTCATGTGGCTTGTAATCATTTATGAAGGCTGAAGACAGTCAATGTAATAAATGTTTCACATATTTCACTCATATTCGAACATACATTCATTTTTTCTTGATAATATATTTCTAAAATATAAATGCGACTGTTACAGGAAGCTAGTAGGGTATTTATGTTATCTGTCACCGATTTTTTTTTAATCTTATGACTTATATTTTAAGTTTTTGGTTTTTACAATAAATTGGTATGCATTTACTTAATAATTGTGTCTTAATTAATAACACACATATGTGTATAAAAACAAATTATTCAGAAAAGATGAGACTATAGTTTAATTCAAGCAGACATTCGCTGATTTAGCTGACACACCCTATACGGTAAGTACATCAAATTTTGTGGAAAAAACTTAGTCTCCTTTTCGCCCTGTATATTCTGAGAACGGAAATTATAATAAAAAATACTACCATATCGTCTAAGAAATGAACTTGTAATAAAAAAAAATCGTTAAAATCTGACAAGCTTTTTGGGCTAAAATCTAAAGTTGTGTTATATTTTTAATTTTGAATAGAAGTGTATTTTGTTGTTTATTAGTTTCATAATATTAATACTTAAATAAAGTAAATTGCTCTTCCTTTTCTATAACTAATTTTAAATTTTTTCACAGTTGACAAAATACCAAAATAAAACGGAAAATACTACAAAATACTTACCAAATAATTTAATTTTCCCGAACCAATAATTTCATCATTATACATATCGATAATTAAGCTACCTTGTAAGGCTTCTTTGAGAAATTTTACTTTTTTAGCACCAACTCCATTCGCACCATCATATATTACCCTATTTGTATAATTACCATTCGTAAAGTTACTACCTCTGATGTTTTTAAAAGCAGTTGTTAATTTTTTGTAGTAACCATCTTCAGTAGGTAGACCATATGCTCCACGTGTGTTTCTACACTTTACAAAGTAATGCAATTGTGGAGTGGTAACTATTCCAAAATCTATAGGCTTCCCAGATAGAGCTAGTACTCCATCAACTACAGATTTAGCTAGATGTGGACTACTAGGTCTTGTATCTTTTCCTACAAGTATTTCTACCCTGTCATTCATATTTGTAATATTATATTCTTTGATTAATTCATTTATTGTGTCTTCAAGTTTGTTGTCACTAAAATAGAGCGCAGAAAGAGATGTAAAGCATGAGGTGATCTAAAGAACAACTAAATGAAGTGAACATAAGGTCAGAAGCGATCAAAGAATAAAGCTATTACCAAAAAAATAAACTAGTCAAAAAAGTTATAATTAAATTCAATTCAAACCTTATTACAAATATATAAATTATAAAAACAAAATCCAATTACTATTTGTCAATTTACGAATCATTAAAAACTGATCTAAACCTTGGTAAAAATAAATGTAATTACTATTCGTTAATTTATCATCTTATTAATTTGATTTAGAAAGGTCTAATTAAACTGTTATTAACAATGCTATAAACAAGGTTTACTAAGGTTTTAGGGAAATACTACTATAACATGTAAAAACCCTTGTATGTTAAGAATAAATTTTTGGTATATAAAAAAGTTAAATATTCTCTTTGTGATTGATTTCAATTTCAGTTTGGAGGGAGCGATTGAAAAAAGAAAAGAAATACCTAGGTATATAACTCTAAAAGGGGCTATGTGAATTCATTTTTAAAGTATGTGAACTTATATTTGAAATATTTGATAAAATATTCGTGTTTGTTGTACAGGGTGTACAGAAGCGAATGAGACATACAAAGATCTTCCTTGGATGAAAAACCAAAACCAATTTAGATTGATCTAGTTACCTTAATGCAATTTTGCTTACATAAAAAGGTACCCACACATTCAAAATATATATATTTCATGATAACTTTGAAATAGTTGAATATGAATTTGAGCTTATTGTTTTACGTAAAACATAAAGGTCGCTAAAAACACCAGCCTTAAACAGCATTTTATTTCGTGCCACATTTTTACTGTGGTACTGTTTTCTGAAATGCCACTTTACTTAAAAAATGTACACTTGTTGCATGTCATTAAAAAGTACTGGCTTCCGATGACAGGAAGTAATCTTTTCATTTACAGAAGCTGGAATTTAGTTGATAAAATTATTTTAAGAATTATTCAAAGAGACCTTATGAGTTTACATCTTCATTCAAAGGGCTGTAAATGTGGATACAATTTAAACGAGGAATTGTAACTCAAAACTTTTCATCCTAGAAGGCTGACACTACATAACTCGTGGGCCTGAAGAAATATATAAAAAAAAATGTAAATAAAATTGTAATGTCCTAATAAAAATAAGTTCCATTGGCTCTAGTCTAGGCCTTTTTAGATCACATATACGTTATCCTGAGGTAATTAACAATTGCTAATTAGCGTCTACGATGACGAATGTCAATGCCCTGGCTTGGCTTCTATTTTCAAACTAGTTTCATTTATAAAATGAATATTGTTTTCTACCACCTTAACTCATGTTATGTATTTGATATTTGAAATGACCTACTCTTAATAAGTTAAATACTCTTAAATTATATTTCCTTGAAGATATTAATATTATGTTTAATATTTCTTCATTTAAAAACGTTCTTATGGAGAAAAACTGCTTTATATATTACCAACAAATATTTAATGTTTAGATAAATTTAAAGTTTATGTAGTCAGGTTAGTATAAAACATAATTTTACCTTTGGAAGAAACAGACTTGCTAATGATTATTTCAAGATCAAATATTTAGCATCTATTTTCAATAGAAGTAAATATTTTGCTAAAGCGGATTTCAGAAAATCCTGTGTGTTAACTGTTGACATGAACATAAATAAATGCAGAAAATACCTCTATTACTTAAAGTTATCAAAACTATTTAAAATATATAGTAAATTGCTTATGCATGTGCATGTCACTTTTGGGAAATATTTAAAAAGGACTTATAATCATTAGGTAGACTTGTCCATTTGTAAACTTTTTTTAGTGATTATTATTTAGTTCTAAAACCTACTAGGTAATTTGTTAGATTTTAGAATCAATAACAGAGAGTGTAAATTTATTTAGTTAACTCAATAAGACCTTTTAAATTGTATTAAACAAATCATATTGGCAAGTAAATATAAAAAAATAGTGTATAATATTCAGTAGTATACAGAAAATTTTGACAATTGGGAAAAATTATGGGGATGACGAGGACTGATGAAACTTGAAGAAATGGGCACAATGAAAGAAACAATATTACAAATTACAATTAATATACATAACAGTTTGCAATAACAGAGAATTTTGGAAATATTTAAGTTTAAATATAGTATTAAGATACTGTTTCATTATATCAGTTAAAACAATGATAACTTATCAATAAATCTGGAACATTTGTAGGCACATAGATAAGGAAATCCTTTTTTACACATATAGATCCTTTGTAATAACTGACTTTAATATTAAAAAAATTCTACACATGCAAATACTTACGCAACATTGGCAAATTTTGTGGCCCAAGCCTCCCATGATTGCTCTAACATTTCTCCATGAGGATCGACTAATTTTACACCATTATCTGGCTCAGGATTATGTGAGGCAGTGATCATAACTCCAATGACAGCTAAAATAATACTTATAAACATACAGCAGCCATATAATTTCAAAAAAACCGACCTTTCTTGTATCTTGCTCTAAGCACAGCCAGGAGTCCCATACGGTACATCACATATTCAAGATCAACGGCTCTAAAAGGAAATTTTCATTCAAATTTTACCCTTTAGGTCACACCTTTCCCATAACTTAACCTCAAAATATATAAAATAACTGAATTGCCCTACCTGGTTCTAAATCCAGCCGTACCATATTGTATATCGGTTTTCACGGTTTTGGGGTACATTTCTCTTGCAAATGCATAAACTGTTCTGTAGCTGTTATTTGCCATGTTGATGAAAACCACTTGAAAGTTGTTTTGTGGACTTTCTATTTTGCAGTAGGTGCGAGAGAGAAAGAGAAGTATGAGTAATAAAGTACACCTTAAGGAATTGACTAATTCCATTAATTATATGTTAATATCCTTTCCCTTTCAGTTCAGTATCTAATTGCTCTAATAAAAATAAATACTACAAGAGAAATATTGGACGCAAAGGAACAAGGGGCGATTTATTTAACTTTTATTGGATTCAATTACTTAAACTTCAGAAAATTATTTCGTTCGTTAATATTTATACAGGGTGTAACTTAAACTATTGGTCAAATTTTAATGGTGGATTAAATAAACAAAAAATTCCTATCAACTTATGAGAATCTTTGTTTCCGAGATACAAGATATTCAAAATTAATGAAAAGATAATATATAGGTATGTATAGGTATATGTATATTCCTGGTTTTAAAGCCTGCTATATGATTTCTGTCAAGGTATGAAATAAAATGTACCTATAGGTATTTATAAAAAAGATGTCGGAAAAGAAAGAGGGGAAAAAGACAATTTATTTGCGAGCGAGAGATTGGAAGAGATAAAGGAAACAAAGCATTGCAATTTATCTACACAAAGGACAAAGGCTGCCGTTTTCCGCGTATGGTTGACTTAGGTGTGGCAATTATTATTTTAAAACAGACTAAACTTAACTGCACAGAGCTTGAGCTGTTCAACTATACAGGTTATTCGGAAAGTTCCCATGGTACAATATCTAAAACGGGCGGTGACTATTCAGATTATGAAACGTCTTCACTATAGCCATCCTTGTCTATCGCATGGATTTCTTTACTTTACTTTGTCGCTCTCATGTAAAGGCAGATGGACCATGTGGATTTTCCAGCACTGATGTATATACAAAATAGCGTAGGTTGTAAGAGCGAAAAATGGGAAATTGATAGCATATAAAACATATACAGGGCTGGCAAATCCACATGGTCCATCTGCCTTTACATGAGAGCGACAAAGTAAAGTAAAGAAATCCGTGCGATAGACAAGAAAGGCTATACTGAAGACGTTTCATAATCTGAATAGTCACCGCCCGTTTTGGGTTAGAAGTGGGAGTGACTATTCAGATTATGAAACGTCTTCAATGTAACCATCCTTGTCTATCGCACGGATTTACTTTTTTACTTTATCGCTTTCACGTAACGGCCGATGTATCATGGGGACTTTCCGAACCTGTACACATAGTTTTGTCTTTATTTTCTTAAACTTATGATTTATAAATATATTTTATTTTATCTAAATATGAAATCTAAATATTCAACGTAGGTATTATACGATGTTATACTATTTATTCTCTATTTTTAAAAATATGTCGTCCTCATATCAGTAACCGTCATTGGCATCATTTACTTCTTTGAAATTCAAAAATAGATGTAGCCTACTACCACATATCTACCTACTACAATATTTACCCAAATTTCAATACCCTCTATGTCGAAGCTATTCTAGACACCAACTCGCTGGTTTTTTATTGATTTGACAGAATTTGCCATTGCAGTGTTCGGAATAGAATTTATTGTAGTTACACCCTGTACTCAAGCCGATATACTTCCTTATCACTGCAGCATTATCTAATTGACTTATAAACAAAATACATTCAGTGGCAATGGGTAAATGTTAGTGGTTATATTTTGATAATAAAACTTATTGGGACCTAAGTACTATTTTTTAGAAAATGACTTCTAGGCTCACAAAGGGAGCTTTTATGAAGAACAAATGGCTTATTCGTTATCAAAATATGACCACTTTAATTTTCACCAGCCACCATAAAACATACCTATAATTATAGACATATATATATATATATATATATATATACAGCGTGGTAAAAAAGTTCTGCATAAAATTCATATTTTCGTTAAACAATTTTTTTTTTCGAAAAACGGTGAGACCCGTCGATTTTTATTTGATCCAGGGCACCTTGTTATGAGGAAAAATTTTTTTTCGATAATCCACTTACGGCAGCGATGACATATTTTTTTTTTAAATGACAACGCATATTTTTTTCGTTCGAAATTGATGACAGTGATAATTATCTAAACAACGGTGTGAAAATTTCGATGTCTTACATAACAATTTTTTTTAGAAAAATGCACCTTAAGTTCTTATAAGTGATAATTGTCTACTTACACTATTAATGGCTCCGAAAAGGACAAAGTTGACAAAATTACATTTCAAACGAGTAAAATTACACTAATGTTTGTGTAAGTCTAGCGAAATTGTTCGAATTGCCCACCCTGTACCATTTGGCATTGTCCTAAGCGTGTGTAAACGCCGTCTACACTTCGTTCAAGCATTCCCGGGTCGATTTGATTTATTTCAAAACGAATACGGTTTTTAAGTTCTTCCAAATCACCTGGTCTGTTTGTGTACACACGCGATTTCAAATAGCCCCAAAAAAAAAGTCTAGAGGTGTTAAATCAGGCGAACGCGGAGGCCACTCGATTGTTCCGCGTCGCCCGATCCACCGGCCAGTAAACGTGTTATTCAAGTACTCCCGTACTTGCACTCCATAATGGGGCGGTGCACCATCCTGCTGAAACCAAATTCTTTCCTCAGGAATATCAGGATCCTCGTTGTTCGGGAATAACTCTGCTAAGCTTGGGACCAAATCGAACCGCAGGAAATCCAAATAGCGAGCAGCAGTTAAATTTTCCTCGAAAAAATACGGGCCTAAAATACGACGCCCTATTATTCCCGCCCAAACGTTCACCTTTCGGGGGTGCTGATGATCTACTTCTTGCACCCAGTGCGGGTTTTCCTGAGACCAATACCGGCAGTTATGTCGATGCACCGATCCATTAAGATAAAAAGTAGCCTCGTCAGAAAAAATTATGTTCTTGAGGAAGTCGGGGTCTCCGTTACATCGATGCATTAAATCTTCACAAAAGTGGAGACGGCGGTCTGGGTCGTCCTCAGTCAATGCATGTATCAAGTGACCCTTATAGGGGTGAAATTTCTCTTTTTTGAGAAAGTTCACCACAGTTACATGTGAAATATCATTGTTCAATGCAATCGACCTTGTACTAGAATGAGGGTTGTCCTGGAGCTCCACCAGGATATTCAATCTAGTTTCATCATCTACTCTAGGACGACCCGCACGAGGAGCATCTTTCACACTACCAGTTTCCTCAAACCTTGCCAGTACCCTACTAACCGTAGATTGCGTAATTGGTGGTCTGTCAGGGTACGTTGCATTAAATAATTGGCAAGCTTCTTGATGGGTTCGTAACTTATCGCCGAAACCAATCATCCTCAAAATATCAATTCTTTCGCGTTCACTAAGTTTTGCCATTTCGAATTAAACGATTTCACCAAAGAATGTTAAATCGGTACTGATTTTTAGTCTTCAATATTTCAGGTAATCTACTCCTTTCAAGTAAACATTTCTTTGGATCTTTTTTTTTGAGGAATTTATCGGCAAACTCGAAGACAAAAAGTCGACCTTAATTTGCTACATACTATTTGGATTTTGTGCGGTTGAACTTGGTTCTAAATTTTGCAGTTTAATCAGGATCCTGACAATATCTGATGAATAATTCCGCAAATATTACATAACACCAGTTGCAACCGTTGTTTAGATAATTATCACTGTCATCAATTTCGAACGAAAAAAATATGCGTTGTCATTTAAAAAAAAAATTATGTCATCGCTGCTGTAAGTGGATTATCGAAAAAAAAAATTTCCACATAACAAGGTGCCCTGGATCAAATAAAAATCGACGGGACTCACCGTTTTTCGAAAAAAATATGTTTAATGAAAATATGAATTTTATGCAGAACTTTTTTACCACGCTGTATACAAAGCATTTACGAAAGGTTGATGTAATGAACTCATTCACAATTATGGACTTTCTATACATTATTGTTTCAGTCAAATAAAAGTAGATACTACTTGCCAAAAATATTTCTCTTTTTTTTCGTCGAGTATATTAAAAAATAAAAAGAATAACATTCAACCCCACACATACTGACGTGCTTTAATGGTATACTGTCTCAGCCCGTAGTTTCAGAAAGCAAAGTATCATTTTTATACTGGTGAACATTCCAAGGGATAAAATAAGCTCCTCTAATAGAAGCTTCCCAAACTCATAGGTACCTACTCAAAGGAGGCCTACACAAGCACAAAGAAGTTTTCAAACTTCCAGATACTCAAAGGAGACCTCAAAAACAGTTAGGTAAGGCAAATCCTAATATACAGATACTTTACTAGCTCATACTCTAGAAGTGTCTACAAACCAATTAGTGGAACTAGCCTCTATATTGAGATTGGCTTTTTGTCCCTTTGCGGCAAGCAAGAGACCAAGGTTTCAGTATCGCAACCAATATACGTACCGCTCGATACAAATGCCGGTTTTCCCCATAAGAGGTATTGGTAATCCTCGAAGGGAAAGACGTCGACGACATGACATTGTTGTGTTCGAATTTCCGAAACGTCAAAAGAATGTGGTGAAAAATATGGCGCCCAACGTGGTGCCCGATTCGCCAAAGAAATGTGATGAAAGACGAAAATACCTTTGGATCAAAGTGCCTTTTAATGCGTCGGGTGAATGTTGCCCTCACCTATGGCCTACACCCCAGAGGCAACAATTCAAAGATATTTTAGTCCCATGATACGAGCGACTTAAAAGTCAATGGCTGCTTTCAGAAAATCGTTTTTATGATAATTGTATGCTGAACAGCTGAACACACCCGGAAATATAAATATTTAACCGGAATGACGTGCATAAACGAACGCTATTTTTTTTCATTTTCTACAGGGTGTCCCGAAATTAATGGGACACAGCAAGAGCAGATTCCTTGCATCAAAATAATGCGATTAAGCCAAACTTACCTTGGTCCATTTGTGGCTAATAAAAAAGTTACAGGGCGTTAAAGTTCAAATTTTGAATTCGAAATTCTTAAAATTCTTAGAGTTTTCAAAGGATTCTTTTGAAAATTTGGATTAGAGGGTTTTCTGGGACGAGAAAAACGAATCCGTACTTAATTTTGCTGCAGAAGCTAGAG